ACATATGGCTCCACATTGACTCTGGTAGTAACTTAATTTGGTACTACTGTGATTTACTAATCTGTCTGGGTGTCTTAAATGTCTGTTGTGAACGTGCCGTGTCCTTTTAAAAAGTTCATAATTATTTTTGACAAAATTAGACACCTCAAAAATGTACATACAAGGCAGTGGTTATTATATGTTAAGAGTTTTGAACAAAGGTATACACGATTCACGGGGACCCAAGCCACCTATTGCCCGTACACACTTTTTTGTACTACAAATAATTTATTTGCATCCGTTGAATTTCCCCATATTACAAGCTCATATCGAAGCATGGAGGCAACGTAGCTATGATAGGCATCTAAAGTAGTAGACATAGCGGAAGTGTCACGTAGTCTCTTTAGAACATAAACATAGCGATTTAGACTATTAATTACTGACTCAATATGTATCTTCCATTCAAACTTGTTATCAATTATAACACCTAGAAATTTAGTTCGTTCTACTTCTTCTAAAGTTTGTCCATTGTAATTTATATTTAGTTTCAACTTTTAGTGTCTAACCGTCCCGAATTGAATGAAATTTGTCTTGTTAAAATTCGCTGTCAAATTATTTTTATTTAGTCAATTAATTATTAGTGCAATTGTATTGTTAATGTCAAATTCATGATGGGTCCTAAGTATAAGGGCCAAACTAAGAATTTGATCATTTTCACTTCTTGTGTCGGAAATGCTTCATTTCATTATAAAATGAAGCATTTCCCACAAATTTCCCACGCAAGAAGTGAAAATTTCAAATTGTTAGTTTGGCACTTATTCTTGACCAATCGATTTATACTACTTGGTACTTGGTGTAACGGGCTGGTGTCCGCCACTCAAGGCGCCTATTTGGCGTGTGGATTATACATATACATATATACCTACTATATAATATACGCTCTTAATTTTAAGTTCGTTGTGGAACTCACACAACATGTAGAACGAAACAGGTATAGTGTCGCAGCACGCGGCCAAATATTAAGAAATAAGAATACAAACATATTGAGGGTTATTTGTTGTATACATATTTACTCACATCCGCATCCACAGACTAAACTATACGCCGCCGTATAAATTAGCTTAATTAGAATGTCAGGGCGGGAAAAATAATACGACGCGAATCTGGAGCAGCGCAGCTGCTTCAAATTAGACTTTTTCACAAACCACTGATGCATCCCCGTTGGAGTTATCTTACTATTCATTTGTACAACTTAACATGAAGTTACGTCCTCCGGAAAAAAAGACTGTGTTGGGACACATTGAAAACACGGAGTCGATCAATTCATCCAGTCGAGAAATGGTTAGGCGGTAATTTTTAAAATGTTGCGTGTTTTCAGCTGCTTTGTGGTATTTCCGTCTAAATTGTGTATTTTTGGTGAATTTTTAACCAAAGTGTATCATGAAATATGTATGTTCGGTTAAATCTGCCCACCTCCGTGGCCCAACAGTTTCTATTGTGAACTCTGGATGAGGAGGTCCTGGGTTCGATTCCCGGTAGGTATGGGAATTGAACCAAAATGGGAATTGAACTTTTCTAAATTAATTCTTGTCTGGGTGTTCTAGAAATGCCCTAGAGTGAGTTCCGTTGCTCTAGTACTCATAGTACAGGGAATTCCCTAGTTTTATTCCCAGGCAATTAGTGTGGTTGTCTGACACATTATATTATTATTATCTCCATTAACTGAACTGAAAATGAAATTATATTAGGTGGACGCTATTAGTGAATTATTACTTATAAGAGTAGATTTCAGTTCTTATCATGATATTATAACACTGATTGAAATATATCCTAGGCTGGTCGATATAGTTTAATATCGATTCTCGATTCCATTAATCGGTGTCCCATCATTGGCTCATGAAGTTTCACATGTGTCAGTCTAATTGAAACTTTGCGACGTATACGTGGTATTTCCATTGACTTACAAATAAATGGACGACGGGTCTAATACAAAAACCACGAAAAAAATGTCCCAAGTCAACCTATTCGAAATTTAAATTGTAATGTCATCGCAGTATCGCGCTGTCAGTCGAACAAATGAAGACTAAAGCGGAGTTTGGCGCTCTGTATACGATTTTAGCGCCTTACAAGTGCGGACACTTATTAGCGCGGACCCGACGTCCATATAATTGTAAGTCAATGGGTATTTCAGTCTTTTTTTCCTTCCTCTAAGATTTCCTTGATTTTCCATCCCCTAAGATAGACCAACCCATCAACACCGGTTATTGTCCCAATAGAATGTTTTTTTTTCTTCTGACCGTGACATTGGCAAAATCGTCATTTTATATAATGGTGGAGCCATAAAAAATTAAAAGTGAAGTGAAACATACATGTGACACTTGCAGAATTGAGACAATAAATTAGTATCACTCTTAGAGGATGGAAAAAAATAAAGGAAAGGAGCTGCCTTATCGACGTAATTAACGTCCCTACTTAAACCAAAAATATCCACCACAAATTAAAAAATAATTTAGTGTTGTACCATAATCATAGATAAGTCAATATCGACATGCAAATGTATGGCTTGAATGTTGAAACTGTTGTTACTGTGTTTTATGTTTGCAAATTTGTGTAGTTTACTGTAATCAAAGTGTGATTAATACTAAGCTATTATTACTAGGCAAGTAATGAGCCATTTTAATCAAAATTAAATATAAAGTTATTTACCAACAAATGTAACGATGGAATTGCATTATCATGTAAGTTCCATTCAAAGTTCTATTTAAATTTGAATGGAGCGAACAAAAGAAGATGGTATTTGATCCAATGTTTATGTTCGGCAGTCCTATAATTTCCAACCATTCTTTCTTTCTATTTTCATTTGTAGGTAAACTTTAAAAAAAAAATAATAATGAAATAATAAAAACCTCGTAGTCAATTGTTTCCATAACAGAATATCGATAATATGTCTGCTTACAAAAACAACACTATCCCAAAATAATTGTTATCAACAATCATCAAAATATACTAACAAACAGGCAATCTAAAGTAACCAAAGCAAAATTCGGCAAGACTTATCAATAAACTACTTAAATGAGTCTAATTACATGAGGTATTTCCGCTATTGTATGATTTATAGGCAGAATAAGACATGCCAGTGTAATGTAACATTCGGTTGATTTCCGCTTTTTCTACTGCCGCACCGCTTAATGCTGCAGCGACGCATTATCATCAATACTTAATTGTTCTCACTGTCAATATTATTGTCCATTTCGTTACAATTCATGCGAATAATTCACTAAAACATTTGGCCAAACATTGTTTTGACATTTGATGTACTTGCCTTTGACAACCGGATACGGATGTCAAAGGGTACTCCGAAAATGATAAAATGAGGACTGTTGGCATTTAAGATGACGTTACGTATTTTCGATTCCCGTGTTTGACATAAATAATGTAGTGCTATCTTTTTTGGCTTACGACGGCTCGCAGTAGTTAAACAAAGACAATAAAATGTTTGTTTTCACCGTCCAAATGCATTATATATATATATATATATATATATATATATATATATATATA